GCTGGCCTGGAATACAAAGACAACGCGAGGCCACCCTGCACTGCCTGAGACTCCGTTTAAAAACACGGGGAAGAATGCAACCTAGGTAGCTGTGTTCCCCTGCTGAAACCTCAAAAATAAGAACTGACTGGATTCCCCTTTATTACCAAATTAACCTTGAATTAACGTTCAAGGACCATCTGCCCCCTATAAAAGTGTGTGTGTGTGTGTGTGTGTGTGTGTGTGTGTGTGTGTGTATGGTGTATGTGACCGGAAGCCACAGCAGGATGTCAGATACCTGCAGTCAACTCTGCCCTAGTCCTTCAGACACTGACCCTGGCGGTCAGGGGTTTGGTCTGGTTTGGTTTTTCAGGTAGGCCGACCACCACGGAGCCCCAGCAAGCTGCCTGTCTTTGCAGCCCACAGCACGGGGGTTCTGGGCAAACATCTGGCCACAGCAGCTCATCTTCCGCAGCACCAGCTCCTCCTGACACTCTCTGTATTCCTCGATCCTCCCAAATCTCACTTCACGGCTGACCTCACTGGACGCACTCATCTTCCTGCTTCACTTCATTATTTCTGGTCACCAGCACAGCCGCTTTCCTGGAGTCTAGGGCGTGTCTACATGGATGGGATGCCACCACTTCCTGTCCTGTTCGGTTGAATCTGCTTGCACGCCATGTTCTTCATTCTTCCACCCTCTCACAGCCAGAATGACCCCCGGACTTACTTACTTACCAGCATATTGTGGGTTTTTGGTCTGTGGTGGTTTGTGTTTTAGACAAGGTCTTGCTATGCCAAGGCTTGCTCTCAACTCCTGAGCTCAAACAGCCCTCCTCCCCCAGCCCCCCGAGTGGCCAGGACGACACGCACACTGCCCTTGATTCTATTTTGTTATTTCTCCTCTTGGGATGCCTCTCAAGCTCGTTGTCCTTCACCTTCATTCCTATACTCTCACCTTCCATCCAGGTTTCTGACCTCACTTAAAGTTCCTGAAAACAGTTTCCAGTCTTCAGGGTTTTGTGACTTTTACTGAACCTGCTCTTTGACCATTTCATACATGTCTGTAATGGATTCGGAATCCTCCTTCCTCCAACTTCTCTATGACCCACTGGGTTTAAGTAGGGCTATGTGTGTGGTCATGAGTTTCCAACTGTCTAGCGGATCCTGGTGGGCATTTTCTAGTTTACTTATTTACTGGAACGGGGCGTGCGTGGGGGGGGGTGGTTTAGGAGGGTGTCTTGGTACAGTGGTTCTCAAATTAGTGTCTATATAATCAACCTGGGAGTGGTTGATAGTATTATCCAGGTATTTCTCAAACATTATCTTCTTTCTTCAAAGAGATGATACAGTTGTCAAGGGTAAGGAGTGATGACGGCTTCTCTTCTCTCAGCATAATGCTAGGCCACATAACATGCTTAATAAAATACAACTTAAAGGCTATGGCTCATCACTTTATGGGAAAACGTTTACAACAGTATTTGACCAAGAACTACTTCAGGCTGGGCCTGTGGGTGCACACCTATAATACCAGCACATGAAAGGCAAATGGATTTCTGAGTTCCAGGACAGTCAGGGCTACATAGTGAGACCTTGTATCAAAATAACAACCCAAAAATTACTTCAGAGAGACTTATTTTAAAATAAAAATGGCAGACTGTTATTTTGAGTGCCTCAGAAGGACAGACAGCTCCCTGTGCTCGGACCAGGAGACCATTCTTCATATTCACGCTGAAGCAGTGAAGACAGGCAGCAGAACTATGGAGAGAAACCTTTAACCAGAGAACAACATTCAAACTCAAGGTCCCTGGCAGTGCTTTTCAAAAATAAATTAAAAAATGATGAACATATCAACATTGCATTTCCACCGAAGGCTCTACCTAAATACACTTACTAAAAATGATATTAAGTCTTGTGCTTAGAAGTTTAGCATTCTGAATAAACATACCCAGATGGCATGCTTATCTAGCCTGGAGGGAAAACAAAGTTGCTAGTCTTGAGTTTAAGGATTTTTCATGGGTAAGAAATTACAAAGAATTATGATTTCTATTCTAGGTTACTAGTTTATGGTTTAAGCCTTACTGCATAAGAAAGTTATGATTTTTTTTGACATTTAAATGAAGAACTTAAAGTTTGTTACCCTGCTATAAATTACATTTGTAATGATAGAAAAATTGTGATAGAGAAGCTTTTAGTTTGTTTTGTTTTGTTTTGTTTTGAGACAGTTTCACTGTGAACTCCGCTGGCCCGGAATTCCCTATGTAGACCAGGCTAGCCTCAAACTCACAAAGATTCACCTACCACTGTCTCTGCCTCCAGGGTCTGTGGTTTAAGGGTGTATATCACCGTGCCTGGCTAGGAGGCTTAACCAAAGCAAGGAAATGCTAAGAGTTAACTCCCAGTGATTATGCTGACACAGGAAGCAGACTCATGAGTGACGGCTCTATGGAGAAAATTTACAAAGCACCTAGACTCGGAGACAGGAGGAAAGTGAAGAGAAAGAGTGCGGTGCAGAGAACACTGCAGGAAGAGTGGAGAGTACAGACTGTACACCAGACATCCAAGCCAGGGTCTCCCTACCCTGGTTTTCTCAAACAAAATCTGCCCAAGTAGTCCAGGCTGGACCTGAATTCACACTCTTCTTGCCTCAGCATCCCAAATGCTGGGATTACAGGCACACACCACCATGACTTGCAAAGTTTGGGTTCTAACTAGGCAAATATCTTGGTTATCTACAACTTCAGTTCCCCAATTTGTAAAAGCTATCTGAAAGCTAAGGTTACTTAAAACCCTAACATTACGTGTATACACACACACACACACACACACACACACACACACACACACACACACACACACACACACACCAATCTTTTTGTCAACTGATGAGATTAAGTTCCTAGGGCAGTTATTCCCTACAGTGTGACAACTCCAGGTCACTGTTATTCGCAGGATTGAACTGAGCAATTTCCTAAGACTTAAATCATAATTCACACATCAGATATTAAAAAGTGAAATAAAAGCTGTGTGTGCCTTCAATCCCAGCACTGGGAAGCAGAGGTAGCCAGATCTCTATGAGCTCAAGGCTAGGCTGGTCTATGTAGTTCCAGGCCAGACAGAGCTACATAATAATACTGTCTCAAAAACAACAGGAAAGGGTGAAACGAGAAGCTGGAGAGACGGTACAATGCTGAAGAGCATGAGACCTGGAGTTTGGATCCCACACTCTCCTAACAAGCCAGGCATCTTAGGCACACCTGTAACCTCAGCACTAAGGGAAGCGAGACAGGAAAATCACTGGAGCCTGATGGCTTCCAGGCTAGCCTCAAAGATACACCTGAGCTTTAGGTTCAGAGGCATCCTGCCTCAAAGGAATACGTAGAGAATGACAGATGTACCAGTCCTCTATGCATAGGGGAGTGTACCGAGCCCCATTTTTCTCCTTGCAACCCCAAAAGCAAGCAAGCAAGCAGATAGATAGATAGATACATACATACATACATACATAGATACATAGATAGATACATAGATAGACAGATAATAAATAAATAAATAAATAAATAAATCGTTTGGAAATGAAATGGCACTATGTTCTTACTCATCAGGTGGTTATTTAAGAAAAAAAAGTTTGCATTATTCAATAGTGGTAAAATATTACTTTGCAGGGTTTTAAAATATCACCTTCTGCCCTCTTTCTGGTACAACTATGATTAGTTGATAATCTCTGTACCCACCAGATGTCACTTTTCCAAATTCTGCCAACCAAATTAACCTTAATACTGAGGATCTGATCTCTACAACATTTATTCCTAATACTGCAACATAAAAGTTTATCTGCAAAAGATAAACAGCTCATAATACTTCCTAGACATTTCTTAAGTACAGTAGGATTTCTAAGATCATCTTGAGTCATTGAAAAAAAAAATCACTGAAATTTCATTAACACCAGTAGCCTTTTAGAATTTATATATGGATGGAAAGGAATACAACTGACAACTAAAAAAGAAAAATGTGCTTCCATATGGGTAAGAAATACTGGGTTTCTTATATAAGAAATGTTGTCTTCTAATCTCAACCCCATACTACTTTTAGTATTACATAGAGAATGACTGAAGTCATTTCTCTTATGCACGCAATGAACACTTCACCTATCCACTAACAGACAGACATCGAAACACTGGGATAACTAGTATTCACAGTCTTTCTATGAGACACATCAAACATAGACACACAGCCCTGGCTCTCCCCACCCCAGGTCTGCTGTAAGAACAGCTGAATCACCGCCACAATGAGTCACTGCTGCTGACGGGATCTACTACAGTCCTCACTGAGGCAGAAAAAAACTGTAACTAGTGACTAGATGAATCATCTGGCTACTTAATTTCCATGAAGTACTGCATTGTTTCCAAGAATGTGAAGCTTTTAGACTCTAGAAAACACATGCCTATAAAAGATAATTCAGCAAGCATCAAGGTAGCAACTGTCAAGAGTGGTTTCCCAAGTCAGGGTAAGTCCAAGACTCCGCTGCTGGGGGAAAAGGACATTCGTTTCTCTATTTTCTGAGTTGGAAACACTCTTTTTCGTTGTTTTGTTTTGTTTGACCCAGGGTCTCATGACATAGCCTCACCCGGTCTAGACCTTGGTGGATATTCCTGGGAAGTTCTTAGCAATGAGCTACATCCCCAGCTCAAGAAAAAGAACTTTAACCACAAAAGCAACATTACAGAGGTTAAGTGTAATTAAAACAGGTCTAATCATACTGTAACTTAAGTGAAGAATGAGCCATACACATTTGTATGGACTGGCACTGAAAAATATCATCTATAAGAAAATATAATTTCACTCTAAAAAAATAGAAATGCACCTGTTGCTTGGATTTTCCCAATTGTCTCTGCAAGATTAATAAAAAATGTTTAGATATCAAGTGAAACACGCCACAAAACCTCAGCCTCAATTATACGCGTTATTCTTGGAAAACAAAGTCTGACTCTACAGAAACCATTTTCTTTAAAACAACTTGCCTTTTTCTGAGCAGTTGCAGCTCGCTGGAGTTTCTCTTTAGCTTGATTATACTTCTCTTCTCTGTCCGTGATACGCTCCTGAAGTTTATGCTTTTCTTCCAACCACTGTATCTGCTTTTCCTCCAGTGTCCTGTCAGAGAACATGTACACAAACTAAGGAATGTGACAGAAATTCTGAGACCAAACAGGCGCTATCACAAGTGTTCTCAAGCCCCCTGCCTGTCCGACCACATCCTATCTTCTCCAGCTGTATCTTCTACAGCCACGTATTTCCTCACATTGTCATCTCAGAGCAAGTTTCATCAATATGACACTGTATTCAAACTAACAGACACACTATGTTTACACCAAATCCCCTGGAGTTAGACACATCTGTCATATCTTTTAAACAAATGAGGAAACTGAAGTTTAGAACTATTTACTAAGTTGATAAAGAAACTTATCTATTTATTGGCAGGATAAGCACTTAAAACCTGAACCCCTGAACAATGAATATAAACATCAAGCCATGAAAATTGTGCCTATTAAAGGCAGTTACAAATCAAGCCTGATGCTGGGTGTGGTAGGGAACACCTTTAAGCCCAGCACTCCAGAGGTATAGGCAATCTGATCTCTGTGAGTAAGCTCAAGGCCAGCCTGGAATTTACATCGCAATTTCCAGAACAGCCAGGGTACACAGAAAGACCCTATCTCAAAACAAAACAAAACAAAACAAAAAAATCAAGCTAAATATTAAATCTTAATGAAGAATATTTTTCTGTGTAAATTTCATATAAATGACATTTTAAGTTGTATCCTAGTAACAACATATTTTAAAAGCTATTCTGCATACTTATCAAAAATATGAATTTTATTATCAATACTATGGCCATTAAAAATCAAAATAACAAACCCTGGCATGTTAGATTGCTTGTCTAATTACTCATACAGATTTTAAGTATATTAGCTGGGACAAAAGTTAAATTCCACTCATCTAGAAATCCAGCCTTTTGTTTATTCTTGGTCTGGGTGCTGAGAATTTAACTAAAAGTCGCGCACATGCAAAGCGAGCATTCTGCTGCTGAGCTCTAGCCCTGGCCCAGTCATACTGGACCAATGCAATGAACACCAGTCTGATGGCAAAGTGAGAGATTTAAATATGCCAGCTACACTGTGTGTCATTAGAATTCTCACACTGGTTTTAATCAAATACGCAAAGATTAAAAGATACACATTTCTTCTTTGGCAAAACAGAAGAAAAATAAGTTAGATCATCGGGAATGTCACAACACATTATTGAGATACAGCTTTCTTACTGTCTTCCATACACAGAACTCCATCTATAAAACATAGACAAGCCTTAAAATATGAAAAACAGAAAAACTGAAGAGAAAAAGCTTTA